ACCAATAATACGGAGTGATAGAGAAAAACAATAAGAAAAAATTGTAATATGAGCTCTGGTAAAAAAGGTTACTGAGACATTAGGTTTATGATGTGATGGAATAACATGCCACCCCCATGAGTGGCTGCACTATAGGTGGTAACCAGCTATAAGTATCCATTAGGACAACGGACAGCAGTGTCGAGCAGGGATCTGCGAGAACTAGCGGCCTTCCTATAACAGCACGCACACAACTTTACTGACTTGCGACGACCGTGCGCATAACTATTACTTCTTTGCTTGTTGCACTGATTTCTACAATAAACCTGTTGCTATTTTGTCCATTCTATATTTCTATTAGCACGGAATATAACAGTTTATAAGTCCTCAAAATTCATACACTGATGTTTTCAAAGACGCATGGCGTTGGTTAGTGACTAGACTCAAAGAGTTGTGAGTTCAATACCTGGCTACAGCAGAGGGGAACAACAACTTGGTGAGCTGAGTTAAAGGGTAATAACTGATGCTGATATATCCAGAAGAGGCATGGCACGTGGATCTAGAACATTCTATATCGGTGGACAAAATAAAGGGTTCGGTTCGAAATTTCAACCACCGAAGAAGGCTCGAGCGTACAGCGGCTGAAACGTCGTGAATATGGCAACAAAGATGAGGACAACAGTCCGAACAATGTAAATACTATATATATATATATATATGTGTGTGTGTGTGTGTGTGTGCGTGTTGTGCATCTTCGTTAAAAGCTTCCTTGCACTATACAGGAAAAACATTAATTCAGAAAATGATCAGGTGGATACTTAGCATCAGTAAGAGACAAAAGAGGAAAAAGGGCTTGGAAAATTGGACACACACGGGACATATTGAAGGCAAGAGTGACTGAGGAAAGCAGCGCATTACCTACCTTATAAGTAAATAGATGGCAAAACGTTATTTAGGAGAGACACCAAAAAACAAGATTTGCCAATAGTTACAAAGGACAGGAAATTGTGGAGAGCCATGACCGGCAACATCCTGAAAGGATATGGCACATAAAAGAAGAAGAAAAGTGACAATCCGGCACAGTTTTTTTTTCTACGAATTTCATTTAACAAGAAAACTGCTCATCGAACCCAACTGTGTGTATTATATATATATATATATATATATATATATATATATATATATATATATATATATATATATATATATGTAAACTCTGACTGACACGAAATCGCTCGGGTTTGGGTCCTGGCTTGAAGTATTCGGATGTCTAGTCGCACTGAGGAGCTGTGATACAGAAAACTGTCTGCGAATAACAATATATATATATATATATATATATATATATATATATATATATATATATATATATATATATATCGCTTGGATGTCAACAAGATGTATTCAGCGAAATAACTCGTAAATTTCGCTGGCTCTGAATACGTTCTTTGTTTAAAAACCAGATGTCTATTTTTGACAGCCGAAAAGTTGGTTTCTTAAATTTTCCTGTTAACTTATTTTTTCGTAAGCAAATATTTTTGATAGCTTAGTATTTTTAAGCAACTTTTGCGAGAATTTAATATTATAAATTTAATAGTATTTAAGCAATCAAAAAAAAAAAAAAGAAAAAGAAAAAAGGTAGCCAGACACAAACACGGACTAAAACATACTATAATTTTCCTTGCACCAAAACAACACATTTTTACTTATCTTTCTAAGAAACACCAATATACTTCCATTTCTCTATACTACAGATTGCATGTGGGGGTTAACAAGTTTAAAAAAAAATAACCCCAAAGCGTTATTTAATTAATAGCACAAAAACTAACGACCGACATTTTTACGCTCTTTTGAAAACGTATACATACGTCGAATATTGGCTTTCTGAACTCAAGGAAAGATGACGTGTTTTGTTGAATCTCCAAAAATTAACGGATTAACTGAAAGTAATATAATAATTTAATATAATTTGCAATTATTATTTATTTTATTTCATTTATTTATATATATTTATTAATATATATATATATATATATATATATATATATTTTTTTATTAATATATATATATATAATTATTTATTTAAAATATGATTCCAACGCTACATAAGAGTTCTCATGTTTCAAAACAAAAAAAAAACTTCAATATTTTTAAATAAATAATTATATTTATGCTCTACTTTTGTATCGAGCACTATTTTTTTTTTTAAATAATAACAAAAATACTAAAGAACTTTGGATTATTTACCTAACGAGTTCTTTTCCTATTTTTATATATTTTTACACACACACACACACACACACACACATATATATATATATATATATATATATATATATATATATATATATATATAATCAATACTGACATCTTATAAATAGAACATTTACTTAAATATTTGTATCTATAAAAAGAATGTATAAACATAAAAATGTCTTAAAATAATTGATGGACAAGTCCGACAAGCTTGAAATTAAAACTGAAATAAGTTGTTTTGTCGTCAAATTCATTGCTATTATTAAGAGGAAAGACCAAAGGATTTTTTTGAATATTAAATTATATTTTTTTTAATCCTTTTTAGCACGTTCGACATTTTGGTTAAAAATCTTTTTTTTCTTGCGTTATCGGGAGGAGGTGGGCAGCAAAGATTAATATAGGAAATTTTAGCGTCTTTTGAGGGGTGAAAAATACACTGATTTGGAATTTTTACAAAAATCAAATGTTGGATCATAATGAAACTTATTCACAAATGAAATAAATTATTTTAGAAAAATACATATTTTTTTTTTTTTTTTTTAGATATCTTCGTAAAAAACATTTTTTTTTTACATCTATTACCAAACACTTATTTAATTTTATGAAATTTCGAGCAATTCATTTTTGTCACGTTTAATTTTTATATTAGTTAAACATAGAACTCCTTGGAGAATTTAAAAGATCAATGGTTTTTTTTTGCCAAACAGGATTCACAATTGCCGAAAATCTGCTCTGAATCGTAAAAGAAAAATTCTGTAAAACTAAAACTTATTTAATTAGAAAGGTGTAGCTGACCGTGTATGTTTGTGCGTGTAACTCCTGGTAGAATATTAAAAGGTCCAACTACAAGGAAATTGCCGGACTCAAGTTAAGTCCAACTGAAGATGTAAAGAAGACAAACAAAACCGATATATATATATATATATATATATATATATATATATATGACAATAACATTTGTGTGTGTGTAAACATTGCTGTCTGTTCTTTGGTGAATGTTCGTACGTATGTGTATGTGTGTATAATGTTCATGGCGTCTCCCACAAATGGGAAGACACGGATCTTCTAAAAGAGCTTACATTGTAGTCGCTGAAATGAAGAAATGAAAAAGGGAATGTGGCGAGAAGTCTCCCAGTATTTATAGTATAGGGAGAATGACCCCTAATGACAATTTAGGAATTAAGGAGGAGCTAAATACTTCCCTCACATTGAAAGTTGTAGGAACAAAAACTTTTAATACGTAAAAAGTTCATGGAAGTTTTGAATATTGTTCTTGTCAACTGAAAAGAAAATTTATTTCGCTCACTGGGTTAAACTGTCAGTTATCAGTTATCTCCTGTTAATTCCCCTCTACAAGTTCTCTACTGTCTTAACCGGGTATTAAAATCACAAATTTTAAGTCCTGTCACTGGATCTAATTAGCGCCTTTATCCACTGTCCCATGTGTCCTTGAGGACACATGGCAGAGTGGATAAAGGGTTCAGTTCGACATTCCAACCACCTGAAGAAGTCCGGGGCGTAGAACGACCGAAACGTTTTAATAAATATTGTGACAAAGATGAGGACAATAGTTCGAATAATGTAAATAGTGTACTTAATACCTCATCTCAGAAATATAGACAGATACTGAAAGGCCGAAACGTTGTAATAAATATGGCGACAAAGATGAGGACAATAATCCGAATAATGTAAATAGTGTACATAATACCTCATCTCAGAAATATAGACAGATACTGAAAGACTAAACGTTGTAATAAATATGGCGACAAAGATGAGGACAATAGTCCGAATAATGTAAATAGTGTACAAAATACCTCATCTCAGAAATATAGACAGATACTGAAGGGCCGAAACGTTTTAATAAATATGGTGACAAAGATGAGGACAATAGTCCGAATAATGTAAATAGTGTACAAAATACCTCATCTCAGAAATATAGACAGATACTGAAGGGCCGAAACGTTTTAATAAATATGGTGACAAAGATGAGGACAATAGTCCGAATAATGTAAATAGTGTACAAAATACCTCATCTCAGAAATGTAGACAGATACTGAAAGGCCGAAACGTTGTAATAAATATGGCGACAAAGATGAGAACAATAGTCCGAATAATAGTAATATAGTGCCTCTTCTCAATCGTTTTTTTTTTTTTTTTTTACACAGAATATTCCCTTTTTATTATCCTGTGCCAGACAAAACGTCGCCATAATCAGGCTCAGGATCAAGGCTTATCAAGAAAATCCTATCCGAATAACTAAATAGTCTAGAATAATTTCGATCGTGGAAAGGATAGCAGGTTTTCTATTTTACATAAAACTTTATTGTATTTAGTCTTGTGTTTTTTTTAAATCTCTACGATGATACTATTACAAAAAATACAACTAAAATACTAAGAATAATGGTAAATAGATATCCCTTGAAAACCATCAGTTTCTGCTGGTGTGAAAACTTAAATAATAATAAAGGACATTGGGGTGTGTGCTGGAAAGATTAGCAGACTTATTGTCATTCAATCTTCAACGATATTTATCAGATGCGTCTGATGTGAAGATGCAAATTTGTAAATACGAAGAACATAAAGGAAACCTTAGCCTCCCTTTGTTAATGTGTTTGGCTTGAACAGTTTATCGAAATAAAAAGGTGAAAATCGAAAAAAGATTTGAATCTCAGGCTGTAATTAAAGGTGGTTTTCTTTTATTTATTCATGCAGCCGCCATGATTAATGACAACAAGTGAAGTCGGAAATGAAATCGAGGCTCGATTTTAAGCATGACCGCCATGAATGACTTCCAAAACGTGGCTATAAGGTTTAGTAAACCAATAAAGGAAAACAAAGCGGGGATATAGATAGATAGAAAGAAAGAAAGAAAGAAAGAAAGAGAGAGAGAGAGAGAGAGAGAGAGAGAGAGAGAGAAGTAAATTAGATATACAGTTTAACCCGGATGTAAGAGAGTTGTCGGGACCGGAGAAGAAGTCTCTTATATCCGGGTTTCTCTTATATCCTGGTTTGGTCTATTTTATATACATTAACACAGGCTCTAATTTGGGACCAGAGAAAATCTCTCTTATATCCGGGTTTCTCTTATATCCGGGTCTCTTATATCCGGGTTACACTGTAGATAGTAAGTAATATATACATAAATATATAGAGAGAAAGATATAGATATAGAAGTAGATAGCAGCAAAGTAGATAGTAGAGAGTAAGTAATATATATATATATATATATATATATATATATATATATATATATAAGCTTAAATGCATTTAAGCTTCCTTCTGCGGAAGGCTCTTGATTGGTCTTTTGGCTTTTTCAGGAATTTCAGAATCCCTAATTCTCAGCATTGGAAGCTCTTTTGGCTGCCGTTTGATCTGGGCTCTCGTTTGCGCAGAACATTTTCCTCGCTGCGGCCATTGGCTCTTTTGATTGCAATCTGGTCCTCTGTTGGCGGAAATTTATTTTTGCGAGACATACTGCTGCCGTATGCGATAGACAACACTAAACTACAGAAGAACTGAAAATTGATCGCTGCATTTAAGTATTGCAATAGTATTTAAGCTTACTTTTTAAAAGTTCAACGATAATTCTTCTGTCGCCACTTAAAGAAAATTTGATGTACGTAGGTCCTTACTTTCCGTACGAACAATTATTTTTATTTCATGGGTGACTTTCGCTGGATTTCGCACTTAATTTCGATTATTCACAAATTTATTTCCAAGTTATAAAAATTGTACTGTTATTGTAATTTTTTATTTGTGGCAAAAAATCACATAAAAAATCGCCGAAAACAATCGCAGTAATGAAAATGGGAAATTCAAAATTTCTGTAAGATGAGCTATTGAAAGTTAGAGAGTTGTGTCCCTTTAATTGAAAAAGTGTGACACAGTGGCACTCTGACATTCGCATTAATTATATATATACATATTTTCAGTTATATATATATATATATATATATATAAAAGTGGACATAGAAGTCAACACTTAAAAGGCGACAGTCTGTTTCATGCTATATGCAATCGTCAGGCGACGATTGCATAGCATGAAACAGACTGTCGCCTTTAAGTGCTGACTTCTATGTTCACTTTTATATTTACACGCGCTCTATCTCTGATATCGAGCACTTTATCCCATAAATATAGCACACCTTAAGACTATATTTCTATATATATATATATATATATATATATATATATATATATAGTCATATATATTTATATATACAGTATATATATATATATAATCATATATATATACATATATACAGTCATATATATATATATATATATATATATTTAGAGAGAGACAGAAGGCTGGATAAAAGTTATGTAGATATAGAGAGTAATTACTATATATATATATATAATTCTGTATTTTGGTAGCAATCCCTCTTTCATACAAGTTTCATTAAAGACGATTGACAAATTGTACAATTGTTCTATATATCCGAGCTATTTCGATTATTTTATTAGCCATTATCAAGGATGTCTTTTTTATTGTTTTAATTTTTAACTGAATGTGTCTGTATATATATATATAAATATATATATATATATGTGTGTGTGTGTGTGTGTGTGTGTGCGTGTGTGTGCGTGTCTGTTTCTAGCGTGATGGGAATGTCTTTTTTTTTTTCCTAAACACGGCCGGCACATTGGACATACCACTACATGCCTATCAAGAGGACTCACGTTACACCACTTTGACCGTAACTCAATTAGGACTCATTTAAGCACACACGGAAAATGCGTCTGTAACATACTTGTAGAAATTAACCTCATCCACATGTAAAAAAAAAAAAGATTAAAAATAATGGAAGCACTAATAATAAAAAAAAACTCCAACACTCAGTAACATCAGCCATGATCACGGCCACAATGTGCTGACCGTGTTTGGGAAATATTTCAAATAAGATCTAAATTGTGGATAAACTATCCGTTGTTTTGTTCAAAAACTTTCTGGCGTTTTATTCATTATCAAGAATCAGGTGCTGGCATTGTTGCAGAAAAGATTTCGTTTACGGCATCTATAGAGAGCGGAACGCTTGAATCAGTCGAAAGTGACAATGTCTGTAATGGTTAAAAATTTATCCTTTCAACACTTGTAATAGTTATTTACATTGTTCGGACTGTTTATTGCCATATTCACGACATTCTTGTGCGCTCCGGCCTTCCTCAGGTGATATACGTTGGAAATTCAAACCGTACTCTTTATTTCGTTCACCGGGGCAGATTGTTCTAGTTCCACGTGCCACGCCTTTTCTAAAGATCTCAGTTTCAGCTTTTTTCCCTTTAGTAACTCAACTTTCCAAATTTTTGCTCACCCCCTGCCTCAACAGGTATTGAACTCACAGCTCTTTGGTCAAGTAACTGTATCCTTGTAAGAATTTTGGGGACTTATGGACCTAATGTCGTAGTAACGATTTTTATCTGAGCTCATATTACAATTTGTTTTTATTGTTGTTTTACTCTTACTCTTCGTATTACTGGTTCCCATATTCTCTTCATTTCTATGCTTGGCCGGCTTAGGAGATTATTGTGGTTTAGCATATTCGCTGATTCCTTGGGTTTTTGTATTTTCCAGTGATATACTCTGTCAGTTATTTCAACTTCATCCGACAGAGGACGGTGATCTTTTTCCCTCTCTATATGGTCAGCCAAGCCTGATTTTTATGTTTCCCCTCGTGTTACGGTTTTACGGAAATTCCAACGTATATCACCTGAAGAAGGTCGGAGCGTATAAGGGACGAAAGGTCGTGAATATGGCAATAAAGATGAGGACAACAGTTCGATCTATGTAAATAGTTACAATACCTCATCTCAGAAATATAGACTGACTGGAAATATTAGATTTAATCTATTAGCTTGAAATTCAAACTAAAATAAGTTTTATCGTCAAATTCTTTGCTATTATTAAGAATAAAAATCAAAAGATTTTTTTTGAATATTAAGTTATATTTTTTTTAAAAATCTTTTTTAGCACATTCGAAATTTTGGGTAAAAAATCTTGTTTTCCTCGCGTCAGCGGGAGGGGGTGTACCAAGATTAATATAGGAAATTTTAGCGTCTTTTGAACGGTGAAAAATACATTGATACACAGTTCGATCTATATAAATCGTTACAATGCCTCTCATAACATTTCGTGGCACTGGAATATGAAAAATTATTAATTAAATTATTAAACATAATTTTCAGAAAAATTATTAGGAGCATTCATTGTCATTTTTCTTTACAGCAAGTTCATCCGGTACAAAGCTGGGGGTACCACTCGAGGTAGAAGGTTGCGCTAAGGGGTAGTTTATACAGATAGGAATGGAACATAACGATTGATTCTAGACTTAAACAGGTTAATATTGTAGTTATCCTGGAAAAGAGCAGTAGTTTACGAGAAGAAGCTATTCGGGTGGAACGTAGAAGATTTGATATTGCATAGCAGTTCAGCACCCTTTTCTTTGTTTCTAACGAAATTTTTCATTTTCTTAATATTTTGCTTAGTTTCGGAAAGGCAACAATAGATTTCTGTGTCAGATTTTCCGTCGACTGTATGTTTATAGGTGAATGCAAAATCTTCCAATGATATTTAACTGGAAAATAAACAAGTTTTACTATGTTTTCAATGTCTATATTAAAAACAACAACAAAAAAAACAAAAAACAAAAAAAAAAACACTAGAATCTTTAGTAGATACTTAGTAGTTTGCGGGGTTAATCCAACCATTGACTGCCTACCAAGACGCCCGCTAGGTGGTGTTCTATTCAGGACTAGAAAAAAAAAAAAGAAATCACTGTCTCTTGTTATATTCAACACCATCACTTGATAAGACACCAGAAGTGTTGAAACAAAATAGCTATTTTTGTAGTGATTTTATAACATATTTATGTTATAATTTTCGAATAAATAATTATATTTGCTCTACTCTGTATTGAGCACTCTTTTAAGAAAAGTATTTGTTGGTTATTGGAATCTAGTATGTATACCCCAATCCTATACTTGGGTATATATATATATATATATATATATATATATATATATATATATATTGTATATTTAGGCAGCAATTTTTCGTTGATGCAAGTTACATTAAATAATATAGACAAGTTTTTTTCAATTTATTTTAAGTAAGTTCTTTTTATATTGTCTGATAAGCTTAATAACATTATCATTGAAGGACGAAAGGAAATCACTATATTGATACATGTTTAAATCCAATCTAAGCTTTTGGCTTACATAAGCCATTCTCAAAGATGCTAATTACATTTCAATATATCAAACAACACATGGACGAAACAATAATGATACTTTTTTTTTGCATGAAAATTTTCTAAGCAACGCCAAACTCGTGTATACGAGACGCGGAAGCGAAAATCGCGTCGCAGCTCGTGACGTCACACATGACCACGCGAGAGTGAATTCGAGTAGTATTAAGTATGGGAAGCCGTTAGTATAAACTAATGGCATCTAATACTAATTATAGGCATTTAAGAATATTTGTTCAGATTTCATAGTTTATTTTGTTCAGGTTAGGTTTCAACTGTTTTATGTATATAGCTTCAAGAATGTTTAGTTTTTGTTTATTGTTTTCATGTTTAAGTATAGTTGTGTTTTCAACAAGGATTTTCCGGAATTATGTATGAGGCCAGGCATGTTGTTTTAAATGCCTAAAAATGTTATCGTTATCATTCAAATGTAGTGTCAAGAGGTTAAATGAAGTACTTCGAGGGATTACTAAGAAATATGTTATCAACTATAAACATTATATTAAATCATCAACCTTTATTGAATCTATTCTTAAAGAATCTAACATATGTCTAACTAAAAGAAACGGTATGTACGGATGTACGTAAAAACAAATCAACATGCGAAAAGCCAACAAATATATCTACTCGGCACAGACACATTTACGAATATACATTATCATCTGAATTCCACATAGACAAACTAGGATTATTATACGCTTCCATCCATAGTCGAACATTTACAGTTTTTCCAGTTAGGCTTGGAATCCATTAATTTTTGAAATTTCGAATGGACGCGTCGTAAATGTTTGAATTCAAAACGCTACAAATTATACTAATGCTGGTTTAACAAGTCGAATCCACGTGAAACCTGATTAACCAATGGAAATGAAATAACACAAAAGTAAATATACCAGAATTTCTTTGTTCTTTTTCTTCATGTCTCATTCTCTGATGAGGCTTTAATAAAATTGAAATATGTTACATTGATAAACATTTCCTATTTGTTCTTTATCTTTTCTTAGATAGATAGATAGATAGATAGATAGATAGATAGATAGGAATCCGATAGAATGATAAGATAAAGAAAGGTACCGTTTATCAATTCAACATGTTTCACTCTTATTATTAGATTCTCTGATGAGGTTTCAATAAAATTGAAATATGTTAGATTGATAAACATTTCCTATTTGTTTTTTTTTATCCTATCATAGATAGATAGATAAATAGACAGATGGGAATACACACATGTTAATAGATAGATAGACTGAGATAGATAGATAGATAGATAGATAGATAGATAGATAGATAGATAGATAGATAGATTTGAACAGACTGCGATAGATGTCAATACACACAAGTAGATAAGAAGCTAAGTGAGAGAAGCATCATGGAAAAGAAAAAAAAACGGAAATTACACTTAAGGATAGATAGATAGATAGATAGATAGATAAAGTGGCCTTCTTCTTTTTATCCATTCCCCACCCCCCTCCATACTCAATCTCTTCCCTTAATTACACTCTCTATAGCCCCTTCTGTACTAGTGGCACTCCCGCCTTACTTGGGGTGAATTGCTTAAAAAAATAAAAATAAAAAAGTAGATAGATAGATAGATAGATAGATAGATAGATAGATAGATAGATGGGAATCTGAATGAATGATAAGATAAAGAAAGGTACCGTTTATCAATTTAACATGTTTCATTTTTATTATTAGATTCTTTGATGAGGTTTTAATAAAAGTGAAATATGTTAGATTGATAAACATTTCCTATTTGTTCTTTATCGCATCATTTTCTTGTAGTCCGATCCATATTTGATTTGCATTTGATCCCAACCCAATCTTTTCTTTCTATCTCTTTTCTTTTTCTCTTCTCTTTATTTTGTTTTTATTCTTTCAAGCGTTACAATATCGTATCCTATTCCCTGCTAAACAATGAAAATAGCTTTTTTTTCCTCTATTTTATTTTGTATTTATTTTAACAAAATATGTTTTCTTCTCTTAAAATCTATCGATATCAACATAAACATCGCGCATGCGCTCACAATTTCAATTATTGTTTTCTCTTATTTGCGTCAGTCGGAAAGGGCGGCCATTGTCCACAAAAAAAACAAAAAACAAACAAACAAAAAAATCTAATGCCGCCTCAACAGCCTCGATCCATTTAACACAAGTGAATGCTGGGTGCAAGTACCTGATGTCTTCCTAGTATCCCTAATGAAAGGAGGCTTAATGAAGTGCCCGTTTCTACAGATCGTGCAATGAATCGCCTCAAACAATAAGAAATAATGGCGACCAAAGATCACGTTCAGTAATAAGACATTTTGCGTAAAGAATGAGTAAAGTAGCCGACGGTTCATTTTATCTTTTTATTTGTGGTGGGATCTATCTATCTATCTATCTATCTATCTATCTATCTATCTATCTATCTACAGCAATCGACGAAAAAGGCCATATAAAGTAGATGTGAACAGGCTTTGATAGATCGATAAATAGGAAAAGACTTAAATAGATATGAACAGATTTTGATAAATAGATAGATATGAACAAGATTTGATATATAGATAGATATGAACAGTTTGAGAGAGACATGGACAGAGATAGATATGAACAGGCTGAAATAGATAGATAGATATGAACAGGCTGAAATAGATAGATAGATATGAACAGATTGAGAGAGACATGGGCAGAGATAGATAGATATGAACAGGCTGAAATAGATAGATAGATAGATAGATAGATAGATATGAACAGGCTGAAATAGATAGATAGATAGATATGAACAGATTTTGATAGATAGATATGAACAAGATTTGATATATAGATAGATATGAACAGATTGAGAGAGACATGGGCAGAGATAGATAGATATGAACAGGCTGAAATAGATAGATATGAACAGGCTGAAATAGATAGATATGAACAGATTGAGAGATACATGGACAGATATAGATATGAACAGGCTGAAATAGATAGATAGATAGATAGATAGATAGATAGATATGAACAGGCTGAAATAGATAGATATGAACAGATTGAGAGAGACATGGGCAGAGATAGATAGATATGAACAGGCTGAAATATTAGGTTGGTGCAAAAATAATGACGTAATAATGTCGTTTTTTGACGTCAAAAAACGACATTATTACGTCATTATTTTTGCACCAACCTAATAGATAGATATATATGAACAGTTTGAGAGAGACATGGACAGAGATAGATATGAACAGGCTGAAATAGATAGATATGAACAGGCTGAAATAGATAGATAGACATGACCAGTTTGAGAGAGACATGAACAGAGATTGATAGATATGAACAGGCTGAAATACATAGATAGATATGAACAGGCTGACACTATAACCCATCCGTGGTGTCGGCGTCTAAGGTGGCTTGGCTACGTTGTGTGCATATATATCCCCAGAAATCCCAAACAGATACTCTATGAGTATCTATCTGTCAATCTAGAGCGATTGACGAAGAATATGGATTAATCCCCCTCTCTAAGTTCTACACTGCCTTAAACGGGTATTGAACTCACACTCTTTGGGTTCTGTCACTGGATCTAACTAATGTCTTTATCCACTGTGCCATGCGTCCTTGAGAACATCTGTGTATGAATTTCTGGGTATTATAGACCTAATATCTTCAGCAACCATTTTTACCAGTGCTCATATTTCAATTTTTTCTGTTATCATTACATGTTTTTACCAGAGCTCATATTGCGATTTTTGTTATTATTATTGATTTTCTCTGTCACTCCTTATTACTGGTTTCCATATTGTATTCATTTCTATGCCAACCAACTGAACAAGGCCGGAGCGTACAACGGCCGAAACGTTATGATAAATATGGCGACAAAGATGAGGACAATAATCCGAATAATGTAAATAGTGTACATAATAGCTCATCTCAGAAATATAGACAGATACTGAAGGTCCGAAACGTTGTAATAAATATGGCGACAAAGATAAGGATTATAATCCGAAAAATGTAAATAGTGTACATAATACCTCATCTCGGAAATGCAGACAGATACTGAAAGACCGAAACGTTGTAATAAATATGGCGACAAAGATGAGGACAATAATCCGAATAATGTAAATAGTGTATAAATACCTCATCTCGTAAAGATAGACAGATACTGAAAGGCCGAAACGTTGTAATAAATATGGCGACAAAGATGAGGACAATAATCCGAATAATGTAAATAGTGTACATATTACCTCATTTCAGAAATATAGACAGATACTGAAAGGCCGAAACATTGTAATAAATATGGCGACAAAGATGAGGACAATAATCCGAATAATGTAAATAGTGTACATAATACCTCATTTCAGAAATATAGACAGATACTGAAGGTCCGAAACATTGTAATAAATATGGCGACAAAGATGAGGACAATAATCCGAATAATGTAAATAGTTTACATAATATCTCATCTCGGAAATATAGACAGATACTGAAGGGCCGAAACGTTGTAATAAATATGGCGACAAAGATGAGGACAATAATCCGAATAATGTAAATAGTGTACATAATACCTCATTTCAGAAATATAGACAGATACTGAAGGTCCGAAACGTTGTAATAAATATGGCGACAAAGATGAGGACAATAATCCGAATAATGTAAATAGTTTACATAATACCTCATCTCGGAAATATAGACAGATACTGAAGGGCCGAAACGTTGTAATAAATATGGCGACAAAGATGAGGACAATAATCCGAATAATGTAAATAGTATACATAGTACCTCATCTCGGAAATATAGACAGATACTGCAGGGCCGAAACGTTGTAATAAATATGGCGACAAAGATGAGGACAATAATCCGAATAATGTAAATAGTGTACATAGTACCTCATCTCGTAAATGTAGACAGATACTGAAGGGCCGAAACCTTGTGATAAATATGGCGGCAAAGATGAGGACAATAATCCGAATAATGTAAATAGTTTACATGAATGATGTAAATAGTATACCTCATCTTTGAAATACAGACAGATACGGAATGATCTATTATGACATGTCTCTAATTTGTATTTCGAAACATTGTATTTATCTTAAATTTTTCTAGTTGAATTGTTCACCTATATTGTATATGATCCATTATTGTACATAATTAAGTTACAATAAAATTTGTAATTTATATGAATACTACTTTATAAAATTGAGATGTTGTATACTTGGGGAGGGTCGTATAATAGATACGGGGGGGTATCATAGATTCGGGTGAAGCTCGAGACACTTACACTGGCCCTGCTAACACTCATATAGATAGACAAGAATATCTACCTGGAACCAAAGATCAGACCGTTCCCTTCTCTGTTTTTCTGTTTGTCTGTAACTCTTGGACATTAACAGAATTACGACGAAGAATCTAAGCGCTAGAAATAAAATGCTACAAAATCCTTCTCGGCATCTCTTACGTCAACCATATAACAAGAAATAAGACATTTGAAAAACTCCTACAGAGTACCCTAGGGTACTTTGATTTGCTGTACTCGTTAAAAGCACATCTCTCGCTTGTCTCGCTAGATCAGTTACATCTGAATATTGAGTTCGATCCTCACTGGGTGCCTCATACTTTCAGCCTTGTGCCATATCTGAACTAAGCTTAAAAAATCACCATCCTACAAGGTAACTAACACTTTAAGCCAGTATTTCTCAACTGTTGTGGATTCCGGGATGAAACCAATAAATAACAAACGCCAAGAATGAATATAGGAAAATAATGTATTAACGAAATTATACAAACTGGTAATGCAGGTTAGTAGTTCCAGGAATACGGGTTAGTAGCCAAATATATATATACAGTCTTTGGTATTGAAGTATCGCTGTATGACTTCTTACTGAGTCTACGTGCTCGCTCACTGTGTCTTCTACAACGCTGTTACCTCACCCTCACTCTTCCGGTTACCTACAACGTTTGACTCCTCCTCTGTAGCTATTGGGTCTTCACGTAGCAGTAGTATATGTATATGCTGGGTGAGTCCATTTGTGTAAAAAGGGGAGAACCCCTCAACGTCAACCTTTTTATTTAATTCAGGGTGAACTTGTAGAATAACTAAAATTAGTTACTCTCTATAATAAATTTGCTTAAAGTGGTGACTGTTTATATATTTAGGCTCAGTCATCAGCGAAGAAGACAACAGAACAGAATAATTTCGAGGGCAGCGCAAACTATGGCAGTTGCCGCAAGAATAAAGACCATCTTGAACGACAAGAACATCTGCCTGAAATCGAAGTTCAGGCCGTAGCATGCACTGGCCTTCTCAGTCTTCAAGAGGCAGCTACGTAAAACTAGCAAACATCTAGAAAGACAAGAACATCAGCCTGAAACCAAAGATCAGACTGTTACCTTCTGTGTCTTTCTGTTTGTCTGTGACTCTTGGACATTAACAACAGAATTACGGCGAAAAACCCAAGCGTTAGAGTACCCTAGGGTACTTTGATGTGATGTACTGGTTAGAAAGCTTGTCTCGCTAAATCACTTACATCCGAATATAGAGTTCGATCATCACTGGGTGCCTCATACTTTCGGTCTTGTTATTAAGTAATATTATATGTCTGTTTTTTTTTTTATATCCAATCTATTGTAATTGTTTTTGTTGTTAATAATGTTGTAGCGGGGGGAGGCAATATAACCCCGAAATAATAATAATGATAAAAAAGATTATGCTGTAAAACAGAAAAAAGGCATTTTGAACCAAGAACCAAGATGTTAAAAATACTGTAAAGACTTTGAAATGTAAATGTTACAGAAAGTTAATTTAGAACACGAAATACAATCTTTTTGTAAGTGTACAAAGGATATCAGATTACTAATAGATAATTACTCGGACAATGAGAAATGGAACTTTTAGAAAAAGAAATGGATTTTGACACTTTAAGAATCGAAGTTAAATTAAAGGATGTTTTGATTTAGAATTTATTTTTGAAACCGGACCCTCCGTAGTTTACAAAGAGCAGCAGAATGATGCCAGCGAGGTGATAACAAGAAATTCTTGTTGTGGAACTTGGAAGCCAATTGGTGAAAAAGTAAACTGTTTACTCGGGGGAGTGAAATTATACTTTGGAAGTATGTCTGTACGTTCGCACTAGAAAAAAAAATACGTCACCAGTTCTCTGTATAAAGAGGCTAGCCAATCGGAAGAAAGAGCAGAGCAGAGACGGGTTGAGAGTAGAGCAGAGCTGGGTTAGAGACAGTGAGGAAGTGACGTCATAGTCTGGAACAAAACGCCTTCTAACATGTGCTGTTGATTTAATCACCGCTGCTCCTGCTACCACTAATATTACTACTACCGTTACTGCTACGGATCGATCGTTGTAGTAATTGCGCTAAGAGCAGACCAAAAAGAGTTAAAATGAAGCCACCTCTTCCCTTTAACGAAATTACACGAAGTATTGTTTTTGTTTGCTTGATCATCGTTCATATACAAGAGACGTTCAACTTTTTTGCCACAAGAATTGTATTATTATATGTATTGCTGATGTTATATATATATATATATATATATATATATGATCGAAATAAAAGTATAAAACTTAATATTACGAGACATATTAAAAACAGGCGAAGCACTCAATAGATCTTAATTTAGCCTTAATCTGTAATATTTTATTTAATTTACAAATTAAACTATGACTGTACCTAACTTTTAGATATTTAAAGATAAGATTAAGGCTAAATTAAGATCTATTGAGTTCTGCCCGTTTTTAATATGTCTCGTAATATTAAGTTTTATACTTTATTTCGATCAGTAAATTTTGTACCTGCAAAAATATCTTTAAATAAATATATATATATATATATATATATATATATATATATATATATATATATATATATATATCTTTTGTCCCTCTAAAGTCGGATGGACTTCGGCATATTTATTTGCTGTTAACCCGATTCTCACCCAACAGGTAGAGGTAGACCAACGGAGAGCTTTCGGAATTCTACGTCCCGATAACTACTTGCCGGGATCAAGAATCACAACGTGGCTGATGAATGGAATCAAATCGACATTTGAATCCGGAGACTTAAGTCTAACCTGTAATACTGGACCATACAGGACCAACGGCCGGTCTCGTGGATGACGTCGGCCCAGTGCGGTTAGGATACGGTGTCACATGGACGCTTTGACCAGAGATCGCCTTACAACTGATACCGTGCAAGAAGATTGGCGGTACAATGTCTTTATCTTTTTATTTTTTTGGGAGTTTTATATATTTTTTTAAAGTTCTTTTAGCATTGTGCACGAAATAATGAAGATATTGGAGTTTTTTTTAAAAGTATGTACGTTTCTTCTTTAGGTAAGTATTGGGGGCTGAAGATTCTTAGTGGTCTTAAATAACTGACATACCCGGAAGAGGCATGGCACGTGGAACTAGAACAAGCTACCCCGGTGGACGAAATAAAGGATTCGGTTGTAAATTTCAATCACCTGATGAAAACTGGAGTATATAACGGTCAAAACGTTGTGAATATCACAACAAAGATTAGGACAACAGGCCTGAACAATGTAAATAGTGTATATATATATTGATCCCTGTTTAAAATTAATGTTTTGAACTGAAATCTTACTTCGTTCTTATATATATATATATATATATATATATATATATATATATATATATATATAAAATGCCAGAGAAGAAATATATATATACACTAATGCCTTCAGATACGAGTTTAATTCGTTCCAAGGTCCTTATTTACTTAAAACTGTCGCTAATTTTTTTTTATTTATGGGGTTCATTTTTATATACCCCCAAAACTATATTTTTTATGTTTTAATATTTTTGTATATATTTGCACACACACACACACACACACACACACATATATATATGTATATATGATAAAAATATTGTTTTGGGGCATATATATATATATATATGTATATATATATATATATATATATATATATATATATATATATATATATATATTTTTTTTCTCGCATTTCTCCTTTGTGGAACTCCCTTCCAGTCAACGTTAATCTGCAAAAATTTAAATGTAATGTCAATCGCTATCTACTATCCTCCTGATTACACTCTTTACTTCCGGATCATTATTAACGTTTCTGTTCGTTATTCTTTCACACCAAGTAACCCGTTGTATCTTAGTGGCTTTTCTGCCTTGCATGGGGTGAAACCGATTAAATAAAAATATATAAACCGCATTCTTTTCCAATATGGTTTCAATTGCACGTCTGTTGACGGCCGCCATTTTATTACACTTGCCACAGCGCCACCTATGGATAAGCAGCCTTCTACAGCCAAAGATTTATGATCCACAGAAGACAACCAATTTTCCACCATCGAAGTCCGTATCAAGTATCCCCGACGGAGAAGTAAAATTGTTACTTCTTAATTGCTATTTACAATGCAAAAAGCGTAAATGTTTTCTTTATCTTAAAGAAAAAGAAAGTTCATGAAACGTAGAACGGCAGAAAAAAAAGCTATTTGAAAAATGGGGCTGGCGCTTGATGGTTTTGAGATTCGAAATCGACGCCATAATCTACGAAAAGTTCAAAACGTGCGTGTAACACTAGCAAGCACTATAATATTTAGTTAATGGTTAATTACCTTTCGCCATTGAAGTACCGGGTATTATGATTTTGTTTTGTTTGTTTAATGGCACATCAACTGCTCATGGGTCATTGAATGCTGAAATGCAATTTTCTTGGTAGCTTTGAAATAATAAAATGTATATGTTATTCTGCTTTCACAATTGAATACATGGTAGATGATACTCAGCTTTAGTGCATACACATGTTTGTGTGGACATGATTATTAGAGGCGGTGATAGGTGTGTTTGAAGTTGTAGTTTTGTTGAAGTTATATTTTGGAATATAGTTTGGTTTCTTTAAGAAATTATAGGATATTATATGGATTAACGTCATGAAAGAGTTCTTTCATGTTGGTTGTTTGATTTTGTTTAGCATCATATCAACACCTCTATGGGTTATTTAATGCCGAAATCTAAATATTTTGAACACAATTTTATGGCTTCAACTAAATATATTTTGAACGCAATTGTATACCTTCTACTACAGACAAAATTTATTGTTGGCAATTTCGCTATAAATATGTGTTGTTGGTCATTTTCCTATAAATATGTATTTTTGATATATAATATTTATTTATTTATATATATGTATATATTTAATATAAAAATTTATTGCTGGTATTTTTACTTTAAAATGTATTTTTATATTTACATAGTGTTTTGTCCCTAGCTTGGTGGTCCACTTTTCCACCATATCTGGGACCCTAACATCCCGGCTAAGGGTGGACCGAGGAGCAATAACAATTAAGAGAGGGTTCCACGCTCCACAAAATCTCCAATGTCCCGATCAGTGACCTTGCTGCCGGATGTAGTTTATCGTCATACCCAGGACTAACCTGGATGTCAGTCTAGTTTAAATTAATGAGGTCGAGGTTTTATAGTAGGGACCTAATTACCAATCAAGTATTGCGTTTAAATTCTTAAAGTAAAGGTACTTAAGAACATGAGAACAATTATCATGAAAATGTTTATGGAGAAGGTGCGGAGAATCTAAATTACGGCGGTGGAGAAGAGACTGAAGCCAAAATGCCAGGTCAGGATAGATAACATTGCAGATTCTTATTAGCGGTCAATATATATATATATATATATATATATATATATATATATATATATATATATGTGTGTGTGTGTGTGTGTGTGTGTGTGTGTGTGTACATAAATTCCCAAGAGGATAGAATCCAAGTTATGAATTTGTAGGTGATAATTTATTATACTGGATCGTGATTACGATTCCAATGTAATAAATTATAACCATGGAATAATAGTGTTTGAGCCTTTATTATATATATATATATATATATATATATATGATGAAATGAATTAAGCCCGATAGTTATTTATATATATAAAGTAATATGGCGGCCTGACGATTGCGTCTAGCATGAAATAGCCTGTTGTCTCTGAGTACTGACTTCAATGTTCACTTTTATATTTACCCACGCTCTATCTCTGATATTGAGCATTTTATCTCATAAATATACCACCATTTAAAAGTATATTTCTGCATATATATATATATATAAATATATATTAAGAGAGAGAGAGAGAGAGAGAGAGAGAGAGAAATAGAGAGTGAGAGAAACAAACACACACACACACACACAGTGGCCCTGTAGTGTGAATACTTATATATATATATATATATATATATATATATATATATATATATATATATATATACGAGGGTCAGTCAATAAATAAGGTGAATTTTTTCGGTATAAGGACTTCTAATACAGACAGAAGCTTACTTTTTTTTGTTTTACTTCTTTTTCACATGGATTTAATTTCTTTTGCAGATTAAAAAAACTTTGAGAGTTTTGGCGATTAACAAAGATGGCCGACCAAGAAGCATGCTCTAGGATTGAACAGCGGTCAGTTATCAAGTTTTTGATTGCTGAAGGGTGCAAACCAGTTGAAATTCATAGGAGAATGTCAACTGTGTATGGTGCCACATGTTTCAGCCAAAGAAATGTCTACAAGTGGGCTAAATTGTTTAAAGAAGGACTAAGCAGTGTTGAGGATGAAGACAGGCCTGGGAGGCCTACAGAAGTGAGGTCTCCTGAGGTGATCGAATTCAGTCTGACAGAAGAACTACTGTGAACTGCTGAGGCAGGTCAAGAAAGACATAATGAAAAATCGCAGGGGTCATCAGTCAGAAGGAGTCATCTTGCATCATGACAACGCAAGGCCTCACACACCAGCCCAAACGGTGCAGACCATCAAGGAGCTGGGCTGGGAACTGCTCTCTCATCCCCCTTACAGCCCAGACCTTGCCCCTTCAGACTTTCACCTGTTTGATCCCTTGAAAGCGTACACGAGAGGCACGAAGTTTAAAAGTGACGATGAAGTCAAAAGTGTTGTGTGCGACTGGCTGAGACATCAGTCCAAAGATTTTTACGCTGAGGGAATACGGAAGCTTGTGCACAGATGAGAAATATGTGTGACAGTGCTGGGAGACTACGTTGAAAAAAAAAAAAAAGAAAAGTAAGCTTCTATCTGTATTAGAAGTCCTTATACCGAAAAATTCACCTTATTTATTGAATGACCGTCGTATATATATATATATATATATATATATATATATATATATATATTTAAGAAAAAATCACACTGGAAGGTGTTGGCCTGATGAGTGTGTGCATAAAGCAGATGAAACTGGCAGCAGGGGCTCTGTTGGATGAATACCTGATAATCTATAAAGTTTTTTTTTAAATTGTAAGAATTTTTGTAAGATAATAATGATTTTCTGGCACGTCTTATTATTTAACCTATAGCTGGGGGTCGAAGATGTGGATACTTTTCCCAAGTGGATTTACGTTTAAGTAAATATAAAGAAGCCAACGGGAATTCGAACTCAGCTCTCCGATTAACAATTAGCCATTATCCATTATGCCACCCGCACATCCAAGCTTACAGCGCCTGGTATTCCCAAGCGATCACCCATCTAGGTACTGACCAGATCACCCATCTAGGTACTAACATTGCTTAACTTCAGTGATCGTACGGGAACTAGTGTTTTCAAAGGGATATGGCCCTAAGCCCTCAAATTCCAATCGAGTTTCGCGCAAATACTTTTAGTAAAGGTATGAACTCATCTCTTATCCTCTCCCCCCAGCTATGGATAAGTAACAGGACTGATTGGGCCCTATAGGCTTGATTGACATCTAATCTAAGAGAAAGAAAACCAGGAATTCAAAGTAAACTGGAGAGGGTTGGAAAAAGGGCGGATTATTGCCTGGTAGGGATGGTCTTCTCTCGGTTGGCGATCGCTAATTGTTTTGGTTCAGCAATGAAAGACTTTAGAAACAGAGAATTATAACAATTATTTTTATTTCTCATGTCGACATGTACATTATCTAACAGTCCAGTGGGGAGGGCACGCACCCCTTCATAGGGAGCCGTTTCGCACAAGAAAGAGGACACGTCTACGTCGCTTTACGGGTAAGAAACAACTCGCCAAAACCTTTTTTCTACATCGCTTTCCCACGCTAGCTCAGCCAGTCAAAATCGACTTCCCTGTTATGGCTCACATCTGACCCCGAATGTCAACCTCCGGAAGTCGGTGCCGAGATACACTTCCCCTAAAATAATAGTCTACTAAACTATTATTTAATAGGATAATCTTTTTATAGGAGCTAACGGCCATGTAACTAGGAGATGGAAAAAACCTATCTAAAAAATTGCGATTGTAACATCATCTGACATGAGGCATATCGAGCACAACTTAACCATTAAAGGACGTGTTCCTACAATGGAGAGAGGGTTTGTCTTAGAGGGCACAGGCTAATAACCTTTTAAATAATTCACATGTGCAGGTTGTTCAGTAGAAAAACTTAGAATTTACTGAAGGAGGCATGCGTGTATCACATAACGGAACTGAATATAAATTTTTCCTGCCAAGTTCAATGTCCTGTTGTAGATGTTGCATTACTTTTATTTCTGTCAACAGGATTCAAGGAATATTTCTATGAAGTTTCTTGACTGAGTGAAATAAAGCCTTTCCTGGTCTGTTCATATCTTGTTCATATTGTATCTATCTATCTATCTATCTATCTATCTATATATATATATATATATATATATATCAGTCTGTTCATATCTATCTATCTATCTATCTATCTATCTATCTATCTATCTATCTATCTATCTATCTCAGTCTGTTCATATCTATCTATCTCAGTCTCTTCATATATATCTCATTCTGTTCATATCTATCTATCTATCTATCTATCTATCTATCTATCTATCAGTCTGTTCATTCTATCTATCTATCTATCTATCTATCTATCTATCTATCTATCTATCTCTGCTGCTTCATATCTATCTCTGCTGATTCATATCTATCTATCTATCTATCTATCTCAGTCTGTTCATATCTATCTATCTATCTATCTATCTATCTATCTATCTATCTATATATATCAGTCTGTTCATATCTATCTATCTATCTATCTATCTATCTATCTATCTATCTATCTCTGCTGAATCATATCTATCTCTGCTGATTCATATCTATCTATCTATCTATATATATATATATATATCAGTCTGTTCATATCTATCTATCTATCTATCTATCTATCTCTGCTGGTTCATATCTATCTCTGCTGATTCATATCTATCTATCTATCTATCTATCTATCTATCTATCTATCTCAGTCTGTTCATATCTATCTATCTATCTATCTATATATATATATATATATCAGTCTGTTCATATCTATCTATCTCTGCTGATTCATATCTATCTCTGCTGATTCATATCTATCTATCTATCTATCTATCTATCTCAGTCTGTTCATATCTATCTATCTATCTATCTATCTATCTATCTATATATATATATATATATATATATCAGTCTGTTCATATCTATCTATCTATCTATCTATCTATCTATCTATCTATCTATCTATCTCTGCTGCTTCATATCTATCTCCGCTGATTCATATCTATCTATCTATCAAATGACAATTGGAAAAAAATCATACATTTTGCCGACGCGTTTCGTCTTCCGACTTTTTCAAGGCAAAAATGAAATCTAAATGTTTTTGTTGTTATAGTTACATTAAAATTCAAAATTAAAAAGATGTCTTGTCCACAGAATTCATCTGGGAATCTATCTATCTATCTATCTATCTCAGTCTGTTCATATCTATCTATCTATCTATCTATCTATCTATCTATCTACGTCCGTTCACATCTCGATCTATGGGTTTGTGCTTTGACGTCCACTATGAAACTTGCCTTAACATGTTTTTTCATCAGTTGACATCAGCAGACAATCCAATAAAATTAATAGAAATAAATAAAACAGGATTCATATGAAGTCACCAACATATTCATCCAACAGGTGGCGGTGTTTGACGAACAAACTATATTACATTACAAGACAACACTGTCAGTTGTTAAGGGACATGACCTTTTTTCTGTGGTCAGCTATCTCAATCTCTTCCTATCTATCTATCTATCTATCTATCTATCTATCTATCTATCTATCTCAGTGTGTTCATATCTATCTATCTATCTATCTATCTATCTATCTATCTATCTATCTATCTATCTCAGTGTATTCATTATCTATCTATCTATCTATCTATCTATCTATCTATCTTAGATTCATTTTAAAATTTAATCTTATCTCAATTTATAGTTCGAACTGTTAAACGTCTTCCGGCTCAAGATAAAATGTCCCAAAGCAGAAATTATGTTCTGGAATGGAAATGAATGTCGTGATGGCACATATCCCGAAACTATCAAAGAAAATCAGGATGTTGAATTAATAAACTCTAAATATTTTAAATTCGTCGGTGTTTAGATCAGTTGTAACAACTTTAGTAGAGGAGTTAAGGAGGTTGTATACACCGAAAGTTGTACTTGGGCTACTTTTGTACAATAATGCGAAAGAGATGCGACAAAGACAAAATATTAATCTCAGAGTTTAAATTATGGTCTTAAATAACCTTGTTGAGTGGCATTCAAATCGTTCAAAAATGTCTAGTTTTCTTGTTTTATATATATATATATATATATATATATATATATATATATTGATGCATATTTCATTAAATATTATAGACAAATGTTGTTTATTTATTTTATGTAAATTCTTTTCATATGGTCTGATAAGCTTAATGACATTATCATTGAAAGACGAAAGGAAATCACCATATTGATACATGTTTAAATCCAAACTAAGCTTTCGGCTTTCACAAGCCATTATCAAAGATGACAGTGTAACAAAAACAGACTATCATTATTGTTTCGTCCGTGTATTGTTTGATATATTGAAATGTAATTGTCATCTTTGATAATGGCTTATATGAAAGCTTCGTTTGGATTTAAACATGTATCAATATGGTGATTTCCTTTCGTATTTCAATGATAATGTTAAGCTTATCAGACCATATGAAAAGAATTTACATAAAATAAATAGACAACACTTGTCTATATTATTTAATGAAACATGCATCAATGAAAAAATGCTGCCTAAATACACACAATATATATATATATATATATATATATATATATATTGATGCATGATTGAAATTCTTTTCATAGGGTCTGATAAACTTAATAACATTATCATTGAAAGACGAAAGGAAATCACCATATTGATACATGTTTAAATCCAATCTAAGCTTTCGGCTTACATAAGCCATTATCAAAGATGTCAATTACATTTCAATATATCAAACAACACACAGACGAAACAATAACGATAGTCTGTTTTTGCTGCATGAAAAATTTCAAAGCAACGACAAACCCGTGTATACGAGACGCGGAAACGAAAATCGCATCGCAGCTCGTGACATCACGCATGACCATGCGAGAGTGAAAACGAGAAGTATTAAGCATGGGAAGCCGTTGGTATAAACCATAGCTTCTGTTATCAATTATAGGCATTTAAGAATATTTGTGGAGATTTTGTAGTTTATTTTTTTCGGGTTAGGTTTCAACTGTTTTACTTAAAATAAATTGACAAAACGTGTCTATATTATTTAATGAAACATGCATCAGTGAAAAATTGCTGCCTATATATATATATATATATATATATATATATATATATATATATATTATAATTTTATCATATAAACAAAAACAGTTTACTCACTACAAAGATGCAACTTCGTTTCGGTGCATTTCAATTGCACCTCAACTGGTGTGAAGCAAAAATGCTTATGAACAATTCTGCATGTAAGCAAGCCGTATGTGAAACGTTACTTCTTTTTTTCCATTTGTTTGAAAAATATGTACATGAAACAAAAGGGTGACGCTATCTGTTAACGTTAGAATTTATATATTACTTTCGTACTCATTGCCTCGGATATATATATATATATATATATATATATATATATATATATGTTTAAACATTTATCTCTGCTCTACTTCGCGTATTGAGCGATCTATGTTTTAGATTTATTACTCGCTTGGTGTTTTTTCTTTGGACTAAAAACTTAAGGCGCTGGACAATTTATTTCGCCTTGTTCGTATGCTTTTAGTTCTTTCTTTTTTTCAGTTTTTTTCCCTCGGGTACCAATTTGTTTTGATATACGTAGAAGTTGTGCTATCCGAGGTTTTTTCCAACCGAGTATTACAAGTAGTTTAATAATTATAATAGTAATATATATATATATATATATATATATATATATATATATGTGTGTGTGTGTGTGTGTGTGTGTGTGTTTAGGCAGCAATCCTTCTTTCATTGAATACGACACTTTATTTAGTTTTTTAGACAATTTCTCATGCAATCTAATATTTTTTTCTTTTCAGATGATAAATTATATAAAAACTGTCCGAATGTTCTTTTTATCCGAGCGCTTTCGGCTATACATTTAGCCATTTTCTTATTTAACAGTTAAAATATTTAATCTTTGAAATCTTTAACTAGAAGATGGGATAAAAAAGATAAAGGAAAAGTGGTTAATCTATTGCAATTTGATCTCTTAAAAAAGGAACTCACATGATGTTGTGGATTCCGGGATGAAATACGGTCTCAAATGAATGACAAACGCAGGAATGAAATATAGCAAATAAATGTATTGACGTAATAATACAATTGGTAATACGGTTAGTAGATCCAGAAACGTGGTTAGTAGCAATAATAATATATATACAGTCTGGTAAATTCAGTATCGAAGTATGACTTCCTTCTGAGTCTACGTGCTCGCAACTGTGACTCCTACAAAGCGGTTACCTCACACTCTTAATGTATCAGTGTATCTCTCATCTAACTCCCGGATATTCACTGGCAGCAGTACAAGTAGACACTGGTCGATTTCACTTGTATGGAAAAGGGTTGGACCCCATAACACATAATACACGAGATACATGATAAAATCATTTTATAAGTGAAAATTTGGGGGTTGTACGATACTCAATATCGCGTTACACGAGTATACACGATATATATATATATATATATATATATATATATATATATATATATATATATATATATATATATATACGAGGACTTTAATACAGATAGAAGCATACTTTTTAAAAAATTTTTTTTGTTTGTTTTACTTCTTTTTCACATGGATTTAATTTCTTTTGCAGATTAAAAAAACTTTGAGACTTTTGGCGATTAACAAAGATGGCCGACCAAGAAGCATGCTCCAGGATTGAACAGCGGTCAGTTATCAAGTTTTTGGTTGCTGAAGGGTGCAAACCTGTTGAAATTCATAGGAGAATGTCTACTGTGTATGGTGCCACATGTTTCAGCCAAAGAAATGTCTACAAGTGGGCTATTCCGATAGTGATTTTTGTAAATGTGCTCTGTTATAATTATTTTAAAATTAACCATTAGCATCACAACGATTACAGTAACATTAATTTGACTTTGCAATTCACCCCTGACGATGATCTTGAAGAAGATTGAAAGTACTTGGGTTCACAAAAAATATGGCGCCTTCCTTGATGAATTTCAACTTAACATCAAGAAGCTAATTAGAGAACTTAAATGCATTTTAGAACATTGCTACTATACTCATAATAAATTTTGTTCAGTGTTGGCTGGTTACTTTTGATATAGAGGAACTTGAGAATTTGAAGTTTTTGTTTATTATTTTTCATGGTGTAATGTATTGGTGTTGTCAACAAGTATTTTCCTGTATTGTGAAGGAGGACAGGAATGTGTCCTTAAATGTTATGCGATTGAACTTGTATCTGATTAATAGAGTGTAAGACATCTTGATAATGTTGTCTTTGCAGTTCACTCCTGAGGATGATCCTGAAGGAGATCGAAAGGACTTGGGTTAACATAAACTACGGGGCCTTGCTTTATGAATTTCAATTTAACATCAAGAAGATAATTAGAGAACTAGAAAGAATTATTATAAAAATAAACATAGTATGTCTACATTATTTAATGAAGCATGATTGAATGAGGATATTCTGTCTAAATGTGTATGTATGTATACATATACAATTTCTTACACACAAGATTAATGAATAAAGATTGAAAACTTATTTTATTTCAATGTAAATTGTTGAATAATGTTTTTGTAATCTAGGGAAGATTATTGAATAGAATAATCACACGAAGGTTGGTAATGAACGATAATACTTAGGACAAGAACAACACATATAAGATTCGCCAGCGGCGTGTAGAAATAGTCAACTGCTAGAAGCGAGTCAAATAAATTCCACAATGAATCTCCAACTGCAGGATATTTACTAACCGCTCCGCTCGGTCAGATGTGGCTCAAGGGCGAATTTAATGTGGGGTGTTTGAGACCGAAGGCTCAGCCAAAAATTCACCGTAGACCTCGTATAAAACAAGACAACACTGACAGTTGTTAAGAGACATGACCTTTTTTCTGTGGTCAGCTATCTCAGTCTATCTATCTATCTATCTATCTATCTATCTCGTTTACTTTCATTGTGGTTGTACGATCATCGGATATATTTAGAAAATGAATCGTCTCTTAGCAGTAGAGATAGTGAGTGAATGAGCTGTTTAGCAATCTAGGTAGTTCTAAGGAAAAGTTGTTGCTCCTATTATCAACCTTGAAATGGGCCAGGATGCTAAATCTATCTATCTATCTATCTATCTATCTATCTATCTATCTATCTCAGTGTATTCATTATCTATCTATCTATCTATCTATCTATCTATCTATCTATCTTAGATTCATTTTAAAATTTAATCTTATCTCAATTTATAGTTCGAACTGTTAAACGTCTTCCGGCTCAAGATAAAATGTCCCAAAGCAGAAATTATGTTCTGGAATGGAAATGAATGTCGTGATGTTGTGATTCCCCGTAGACCCCCGTATAAAACGGGGTCGGGTAACTGTTTCCCCGGGACGAAACTCCACCCTTTGACATAGCCTCGTCTGGGGATCCACTCTGCCCGATGACAGAGAGTTTCACCAGTACAGCAGGAGACGAATCTCAAACTGCAGGATATCTACCAACCTCCCTACGCAGTCTGATGTGGCACAAGGTCGAATTTAATTCCTCGTATACCCCTTATAAAACGTGTTCGGGTAGCTGTTTCCTGAGAAGAGACTCTGCCATTCGACATGGCCTCGTCTGGGGATCCTCTCTGCTCGGAGACAGAGAGTTTGACCAGCACAACTGGGGATGTATCTCCAACTGCAGACCAACATACAGTATTTACTACTGCAGACCAACATATAGTATTTACTATTGTATTTATTTGAATGGGGGCATACTCATTATCGTTCGCAGGTATGCTACAACAAATGTAAAACTGATTTAATTTTTATATTAATTTCATAATAAGTCCAGTGTATTGAAAAACGCTTCAATGGCTTACGACTGTGCGTTTTTTTTATGTAGAAATAAATAACAAACCTGGATACGTGGCATTGGATGGTGGTAGGTATTTGGCTCTCTCTCAGTTCTTTGCAAGATTTTCTTTTGAAATAATAATGATTTATTCATACAATTCCAATTCCGTGGCATTATCCATTAATAACGATATAATCAAGATGTTGACATTACACACTGCCGTAATCAAAAGATTAGGAAGGAAATTCATGTCATTACTAGAAAGAGCGATAACAGCTACTGGACTTGAGAAATCTATTTTCCTGAGAAACTGTTTTAGGTAAGATTTTATGATTATCAACCGACACTAACGCCAAGTGTTCCTTTAATGAATACTGAATATTTCCTTATAAGGAAACGGCTAACCCTTATTGTTACCATTCTGCCATTTAAGTCTGTTAATTATCTTTCTGTTGATGTAAAAGTCGTATTAATGACAACGAAGACAAGAAAGCAGTCAGAATGAATGATTGTATAATCGGTTCTTGCTCAAAAATGAGAACAGAAATACGACCGGAGAGTTCTTTTTATGTTCATGTCCTTTCAGGGTGTAGACGATCATGACCCTCCGCCTCCCTCTATCCCTTGTAGCTCTCAACAAGTTCCTTCCCCCTGCTTCCTCCCCCAGACCACGTTCTGTCATCCACTTGCTTAAGCTGGTCAGATATGTCATGCGTTGTTTTCCCTTGTCTCTCTTTCCCTCTATTCGACTTGTGAGTATCAGATTCTCCAGGCCCTTCTTCCTCATTATGTGTCCCAGAAACTTCAGCTGTCTCTTTCTGATGTTAAGTATAAGTCTTCTCTTTCTTTGCAACCTCTCTAAGATCTCATCGTTGCTCACATGCTTGGTCCCTGATATCCTATATAGAAAAAATCCTACTGTAGAACCACATCTCCGTCGCCTCGAGTCTCTTCTTCATCTTTGAGGAAATCGTCCAGCATTCGCTGCCGTAAAGAAGAACAGATGTCACGTAACAGTCTCAGTATTCTTTTCTTTGTTACCAAAGAAATCCTGCCGTCTCGCAATACTCTTTTCTGCTTTTGGAATGCGTCCTGGTTCATCCCAATACGTCTATGGATCTCAATATCGCATATACCGTCCTCAGTCAAGACGCTTCCCAGATATTTAAACTTCTGCTTGATTTTAGTGTCCCCGACCCTGAAATCGCATTTCGCGCTCATCTTTTTACTGATGACTATGCATTCTGTCTTCTTGTAGTTTATGCTTAGTCCTTTCTTCTCGCTCTCCTTCGCTACCTTCTGTAGGAGGTTTTGTCATTTCTTTTCCGCGTCTGCTATCAGCACTGTGTCATTTGCGTATCTTATGTTGGTAAGGTTGTGGCTGCCAATGCTAAATCCCGGTAGGGTTTCCAATTCTCTCAGTGTTACCTCACTGCATAGGTTGAAGAGGTCCGGTGAGAAGACACATCCTTGCCTTACGCCTTTTTCTATTTTTCTATATTCACTGAACTCGTTCCCTATGCGCATGCGTGCTGTTAAACGTTGGAATAAAGACGACAAATGCGTGAAAACTCTTTAGAATGAACCATTGGGTAATAATGCAAAAAGATAACAATAATGAAATATATATATATATATATATATATATATATATATATATATATGAAAAATAATCATACATAGAATCAATCAGCAATATTAATGCGGTTAAGGGCGAAATCACTTCGCTAGTAGAACATAATGTATGCATTAAAATACTGTTAATCCATTGGCTGATGTGAACCTCATTTATAAAACTGTTGTCAGATGTTTCTGGTGTATATTTTTTAATTTAAGCAAGTACTTTCGAAGATCTATGTCTTCATCGTCAGGATGTAATTTTTTTTAAGTTAAAACTTATGGCGGGATGGCGTACACATAGTCTTTAGTCATGTTCTCCTCCATGGGGCGGGGTGGGGGTCTTACTCGGGAGAGATATCTGCGAAGTGTCGTCAAGCTTTTGAAGGTTGTCCTGATGTTATATGGACCGCAGATCCTTTGTATTTTCTCTGATAACCCCTTCACATAAGGCAGGCAGACTGGGTGTTGCTGTCCTCCTCTTGTACCCGCCTATCCCAGTTTATTGGGGTTGCTGCTATCTATCTATCTATCTATCTGTTCATATCTCGGCCATATACGACCATATAACGGTGAAATACTGGTTCCCGTATAATCACCGAAGTTAAGCAACTTCGATCCTGGTTAGTACCTAGATGGGTGACCAGTCCTGGTGCTGTAACCTTGGATGTGCGGGTGGTGTAATAGATAATCGTTTGGAATTGTTAATAGGAGTGCTGAGTTCCAATTGCTGTAAATACGCGCAAATACTCCTGGGAAAGATATGAATCTCCTCTGCTTCTCCTCCCAGCTATGGGTTAATTAGTAAGATCTATATCACTAAATCATTATTATCTTTAAAAAAAACTCTTACAACTTTTACACATATTTTCTGGCTTTAAATAACCTGAAAAGTGTTGACAAGCCCTAGAAAACGAACCAATCAACTCCGGGAAGAAGATAATAATAATAATAATTTTATATGTTTCAGCATTTCAAAAGTGAATTATATTATCTTGAATAAATATGATTGTATTGTACAGATAATCTAACAACACATTGTAAATAGTAATTTAAAAAAAAATCATTTTACCCCACGCAAGTTGATAATACCACTAGTACACAGGTGGTGGGTGGCTTACAGGGAGTTAAAGCGAAGACTGAGAATAGGGGGGATTGAGGAAAGTAAAAAACATGAACTGGTTTCAAGAAGACAGAAGATAGCGATTGACGTTGCATTTAAATTTTTGAAGATTGTAATTATCAGGGAAGCAAGTAAACAGAAGGGGTTCCACAGGTGGGAAGTGCGAGAAAAGAAACCGTTGGAGTAGAAGTGATGGTTGCATTTAGATATTTCAACAGTAAAAGGGTGGGACCTAAGTGTCAATCTAGTAACACGCTTAAACTCATGCAGTCGGGGAACCAAAAAAAAAAGAAAAAATTTTTTGTCAGAGCAGATGCCATGAAAATATTTGCAGAAAAGGCAGAGGGAAGCGTGAGAAAGTGACTAACGTCGAAATGCCAGGTCACAATCGATTACATTACAGATCCTCTGATGTATGACGGTAAACTACATCCGCGTCCTGGGTATGACGATAAACTACATCCAGCAGCAAAGTCTCTGATCAGGAGGCTTTGAGGAGCGTGGAACCACCTCTTAATTGCTGGTGTTCCCAGGTCCACTATGACCCGGGGTGGTAGCACCTGTTAGGGTCCCAGCTATTGGCAAATAGTTAACCCCGAAACATTTTTTAACCATCTGTCATCACAGTGTAATTTTCTTTATTAAAAATCTTTCAAAAATAAAATATACTTTTCTGAAACTTAATTTGAGGAATATTAACTGACTTTAAGTTTAACTAACTGGAAGTCCTGTTTGACAAAAAAGAATTTAATGATTTAAATTCCCCAAGTTCTTTTAATTCATATAAACATTAAGCTGGTCAAAATTTAATTTCTCGGAATTTCATAAAATTAAATAAGTTGAGGCTAACAGATGATTTTTTTTTAATTAATTGAAACATACTTAAGTTTAAAATATCGCAGAGATGCATTTTTAACACGGTGGTAGCTGTTTATTTAAAGAATTGACAAGTTGACAGCTTGACTAACAGACGGGAGTTTATTTAATCTTTATTTCACGGTGGATATATCTGTAAAAATACTTGAGGAATATAACGTGAGCGCCTTTTATCTTATTTTTAACTACGCAGTAATCTTAAAAAAAATAGGAAAATATTCTCCGTAATTTAATGTTTTATTGAATTTCAGATACTTTGGCTTTAAATTTACTATAGTTATCGCTCTTATTTTCTGATAATATCATGTATGGACGTCCGTATTTACAAAACTCCGCAAGTTGATGCACATAAAAACAATTCAAATGAAAAAAATATTGGGGGTCACTAAATTGTAAAATGTTTTTCCATTTATGATTAGTAAATATAGATTTTAATAAAAATAGCACCTAATCGGGACAAATTAATACACAATTAAGAAATTAAAATATTTATAAATAACTAGCAGTAGAGCCCGGCGTTGCCCGGGGATGTAACAGTAAGAGATAGATCAAGTATCGACAAGTAAAGACTGAAAAATAAAATTGACAAAGATTATTGTTTAAGGTTGACGGACACGCATGTCTTAATTAGTTTTTTTTTTTCGTTTTTGTTTTTTTACGAATTGGTCAAACTCAAACAAAAACATTGTTTTCAATCGTTATGAGTCTACCGATTGAATAGAATTTTATTATAAACGATTGTCTTGTAAATGGAATTTTTAAAGCATTCTGAATGTAAAAATAAAGAAAAAAGTGTGCAAGACAATAAGAAACACTATATGCCAAAAAAAAGTGAAATTTTGTTGAAATCGGTTGAAAAATGTAGGAAATCCGATCCCATATATAAACGAACACACACACACACACACACACACACACACACACACACACACACACACACACAACCTGGGTTTTATAAGTATAACTCGTCCCCCTTTCATTCTGGCGACAGAATCGTGTTTTATCGTGTTTGCAAATCGATTTCGTGCAAAAACAATTGTGTTTTTCCAATTTTTGGTGCTGTCAGAACCACCGCAAGGTAATTTTACGTAGTTGAAATCGGTTGAAAAATATAGGAAATCCGATCCAATATATAAACTTACACACACACACACACACACACACACACACACACACACACACACACACACACACACACACACAATCTGTGTTTTATAATAAGTAAGATTATAATTAAAATGAAAATAATTCTTGTAAAAAATTATTCTTCATGGAAAATTTATTTTCTTAAGTCATTAATGACCACAATATATCATATTCATAAAAGCTATTCAAAGATTTTCTAATTAAATAATGTTCTAATTTTATTGCATTTTTTATTTTACGATTCAGAGCAAATTTTCTGTAACTGGAGGTCCTGCTTGACAAAAAGAATTTAATGATTTAAATTCTTCGAGAGGTCCTTCTTTTAACTTAGGTACCTCCATGAGATCGCTAAAAAAAAAGAAGAGCATAGAATGATGAAAAAGACGCCAAACTTGACGAAAACAAAATTTTATCGTCTAAATGTTTGTTATTATTAAGAGGAAAGATCAAAGTTTATTTTAATTATTTTTAAAAATTTTTTCCTTCTTTTTAGAACATTCTAAATTTTGATTAAAAAACCTTGTTTCTCTTTGTATCACCGGAACTAGTAAAATAATATAGAATTTTTAGCACCTTTTTTTTTTTTTTTTTTTTTTTGTATGGCACACATTAATTTGGAAAATCTTGCAAAAATAAAAAATAATTGTCGGATGTAAAAAAATGTAAAAAAAATACCACAAAAAATTTTTTGATCTTTCCTCTTTACCTATTTTAACTCATATAAACTGGTCAAAATTTAATTTCTCGGAATTTCATACAATTAAACAAGTAAGTTAACACGAAAAAAAAAAAAAAAAAAAAAATTAACAAAATTTTCCAAAAAGAAAAAAAAAAATTTCTAGAATATCCAAGGCTAATCTAGCACCCCTCCATCTCGCCCGCCGCAGTTGCAAAAATAAAGAATTGTAATAAAAATTTCGAACGTTCTAAGGAATAAAAAAATATATAATCTAATAATCAAAAAATGCTTTGGTCTTTTCTCTTAATAATAACAAGCATTTAGCCTATAAAACTGTTTTTTTTTAAATTAAGTTTGGGGTATTTTTTTTTCATCGTGATTCGTTCGGAGAATCAGTGGAGGTATAACAATAAATGAAATTAGATATACCTTTCCGATTTGATCGTAAAATGTTATCAAATTTATTATCAAAATCTCTGAGAAGCAGATAACATATCAATTAAATTACAAACCAGGAATGTGTATTCAAACATTTCCCTTTATTTGTTGACATCTATCTATCTATCTATCTGTCTATCTATCGCAGTCACTTCATATCTATCTATCTATCTATCTATCTATCTATCTATCTATCTATCTAAGCCTTTTCATATATATATATATATATATATATATATATATATATATATATATCTATCTCATACTGTTCATTATCTATCTATGAATCCGTATTCATCTATCTATCTATCTATCTATCTATCTATCTATCTATCTATCTATCTATCGCAGTCACTTCATATCTATCTATCTATCTATCTATCTATCTATCTATCTATCTATCTATCTATCTCATTCTGTTCATTATTTATCTATCTATAAATCCGTTTCTATCTATCTATCTATCTATCTATCTATCTATCTATCTATCTATCTAAAAGTGAACATAGACGTCAACCCTCAGAGGCGACAGGCTGTTTCATGCTAGACGCAATCGCCAGGCCTTATATATATATATATATATATATATATATATATATATATATGTAATCTGTTGTTACAACGTCCGACAAATTAGGAAAAAATATTAATTTTTCCCCTCCTCATTTTTTGGATATTATTTTAAATTCAGTTGTTAAAAAATATTTCCATTTCAGTTATTTTGTTTTCATGCTGACAATATATTTTTGAGGTTGAGTCCGTCGAAAATTGCCTCAGATTTTATTTGCTGTGATACTTTTTGTACCCTTTTCTTCGTAATAAATTATTATCCCCGATTTAAAGATTATCATATATATATATATATATATATATATATTTCAATTAAAAGGTGTAATTATAACTTATAAATTCATGAATCATTCATACAAAAAAACAAATATAGAGGTTAATGATTTAAATGGCGAGAATACATCTTCGCAAACAATTTGAATAAGATACATTAACCCCGAACCTGTATATGAATGATATGATCCCTGTTTATAAATTCCAGTTGCATAAGGTCTTTTTAATTTTTTACAAGCTTTCGTCTGTTCCTACAGACATCCTCAGGTATGGAAATAGATTTTGTTCTTGTTTTTACTTCTCAGTAAGAAGAGGACAACGAAAATAGAGATGTAATCCGAAAAAATGCTATGAGAAATGTGTTATTGTTTTGGAACGGGCGGTCGCAACGCTATGTTTGAATTCAAATTTTAAGGTTCTGCGTTTTTGTACAAATATAGCAATAAGAGAATTGTTTTTTACTGGTAGATTTTCCGTGAATATGGCATGAACTATATTGTTCAATAATTACAGTAATGTCACACTTATGTCAAAGTTGCACTTTGGATCAGTTAT